CTGCAGCGCGAAGTTGGCCGCGGCCGGCGCGCCTGCGGCGCCGTGGGCGGCGCGGCGCAGGGCCGGCGGGCTCGGCGGCGGGCTGTCGGCATGGAGCCCGCGCGGGCCCAGCAGCGCTCCTGCGGGCGGGCGGGACCCTTAAGAGTTTGACGACTTTTTGCCAGTGCGACCTGTGGGGATGAAGCCAGATGAATCCAGGCAGATGCAGATATACTTCGAGGTAAATCCAGGCAGATTTGGGCAAATCCAAATACATTTACGCAAATCGCGGCCGCTCCAGCGCGAGTCGAGGGACGACACAAGTCGTTAAGCCCTCAACGACAGGGGGCAGAAAGGTGCGGAGCGTTCCGCCTTGCCGTCGCCGCGCAGATAGGCGTCTTAGATGGGGTTCGAGTGCACGTCGGCCCATATGTATATACATATATATATATATAGATGTATGTATATATATATATATGTATATATATATATATGTATGTGTATATATACATTTATATATATATATATATATATACGCACACACACGAAGTAGGAACACGGATCAAGCAGATTGGGCGCAGGCCCTCCCAGAGACTAGCAGAACACAACAGAAACATATCGATTCTTGAAATAGGAAAGCGCTTGAAGTATATTGGGATCTAGGGATCCAGAAATCTCTCAACGACCCGCGTGTACTTCGGGTCGAATGATCGCGCCACCTCGACCTCGCCGATGCATCGGCGACGTCGGCGATGCATCGACGCAGGCCGCGTGGAGAAAATTTGGTTCGAACATCGACACGCATCGCCGATGCATCGGCGATGTGGCGCGCCCCTCCGACCCCATCTTCTCCGACCCCATCTTGGAAGCCTTGAGTGCATCAGCGCCGGGGCCCACATGTTTCAATCCAGCGTCCGAGAGACGTCGCTGAAGCGAGAGCTAAGGTGGGGCACGCTCATCGCCAATTCCACCCGACGTTGCAAACGGGCAGACAGCGCAGGGCGAGTCGCGTGCAGAGGAGGGGCACACACACAGACGCACTTTTCGGCAGTCGCGGCCTCGCGCGCGGCGACGAGGCGGACAAAGCAACATGCAGGGGCCGGGGCCCCGCGCGCGCCGCACACAGACACACAGACACACAGACACACTGACACACACACGCACACACACAAGCACTTTTACGTCGGCGGCTGGGCAGAGTCACTGCGCTGGCGATGAAGCGAAACGGGGCTGCTGTTAAGCGAACTGTGCCACCATGCAAGGAGAGGGGGAGGAGACGACGAAACGACGGCCGAAGAGGAGGGACCGGGCCGACACACACACACACACACACACACACACACACACACACACACACACACACACACGCACGCACACACATACACACACACGCACACACACACACACGCACGCACACGCATGTACGCACGCACGCACGCACGAAAACACGCACGCGCACGCACGCACACGCACACGCACACGCACACGCACACGCACACACACACACACACACGCACACGCACACGCACACGCACACACACACAGACACACACACACACACACACTTTTTCTGCGTCGGCGTCTGGGCAGATGACGACTGCTCCAGCGGTTAGGCTACAGGGGACACACTGTATGCAAATCAGTGCCGCAATGCACGAGGAAGGAGAAGCCCCGGCGCGACGGGGAGAATGGAAGCTGGCCCCACCTGGCCCCGACACCTCCACCCACAGAACCTCTTTTCTTGGGGCCCCCCACCTCACGATGCATCGCCCAAAACCAACCGTTACCCACCACCCGGCCCCGACCGATACCCCCCACCTGGACCCGACACCCCCACCCGCAGAACCTCTGTTCTTCGGACATCTCAAAACTAATCGATACCACCCACCTGGCCCCCACCCAACAATTTCTCGCCCCAAACCAACCAACCGATGCCCCCCACCTGGCCCCGACCGATGCCCCCCACCTGGCCCCGACACCCCCACTCACAGAACCTCTGTTCTTGGGGCCCCCCACCTCGCGATTTCTCGCCCAAAACCCACCGATGCCCCCCCACCTGGCCCCGACCGATGCCCCCCACCTGGCCCCGATCGATAACCCCCGCCCAGCCCCGACACCCCCGCCAACCCCCGACCGATACCCCCCCCTCGCCCCCCTCACCGCCCCCCTCCTCGGCCCGACACCCCCTCCTCCTCCTCCTCCTCCTCCTCCTCCTCCTCCTGCGGCGGAAGCGCGGGTCTGTTCCGCCGCCCGGCAGCCGCCCCCGACACTATGGACTTGGCCGAGAACGCGACGAACTGGTAGTGCGTCGCGTCGTGCCGCCGGCCAGCTAGGCGGCCCCCGCCGCCCGGAGCGCCGCCGCCCCGCCTGCCCGGTCCTCGCCCAGCGCTGTCTGGAGCTGGCGCGCCGTTGCGCGGTGCAGGGCGACACTCAGCTCCGCGCCCCAGCGCGCGGCGAGGGCGCTGGCCGCCGCGTCGGCTTCGGGGCCGTCGCCCAGCAGCTGCGCGCGGCTGCGGGCCAGCCACCGCAGGTGCTTCAGGGCGGCCGGCCCGTGGCGCCCCGCTGTCTCCAGCGCCAGCGGCAGCACCCTCCAGGGCGCGCGGCCGGCCGGGTAGCGCGCCCGTTTGTCCCCCTCGCCCTCCCGGGCCACGGCGCCGTCGGCGTCCGCCGCGGCGGCCAGGGCGCGCCCCTCGCCCGGGACGCTGTAGCGGACAGTCACGTCCACCAGCAGCCGCGGGCAGCCAGCGCGCTGGGCGTCCAGGTCCAGCAAGGCCTCCTCGCGGCGCGTCTCGAGCGCAGCCCCGCAAGCCCTGCAGGGCCCCGGCGGCGAGGCGTCCCAGCGCCAGCCGCGCGCCGTGCAGCCGGGCGCCGGGCAAGCCCAGCGCCAGCGGTCCCAAGCCGGGACGTGCACCTGGCGCGCCGTCTGGAAGCCGCACTCAGCGTGAATGCGCTCCCAGACGTCTTCGACGTCGCGGCTGCGCGCCTTTGTGCCCCCGCCGCAGGCGCACCGGAAGGCGTGGCGCGCCTTGCAGCAGAGGGGCTGGCCGCAGGGCTGCCCGGCCCGCGCGCCCGTCCGCAGCCTGTTCCAGCAGCGGCTGTTCGGCGGCGCGAGGTCCTGCCCCAGCAGCGCCCGCGCCGTGCTGAGGTAGGCGTCGTCCTCGAGGCGCTGGTAGGGCCCGGCGTTCGCCAGCTGCCAGCCGGCTGCGTGCGCGCCGCCGCAGGAGCGGAGTCGCGCCCGGTCCTCGGGGCCCAGAGTGCTCAGCAAGGCGTTGTAGTTCCTTTTGTCTAGCCTACGCGTGAGCAGTTTCTGGGTTTTCTCCCGAGGAGCCTGGGCGAGCTCCCGCCAGGGCGGCAGCGGCGCGGCGTCCTCCTCGTCGTCGGCGGGCGGCCCCGGCAGCGAGGCCAGCGCCTCCCGGCAGGCCTCGGCCAGCGGCAGGGTAGAGGCGCCCAGGTCGGCCAGGGCGGGCAGGCCGCTCCTCTCCAGGACGCCCGGCAAGCTCTGAGCCCAGGAGCCCACCCAGGCCGCGGGGGCGAGCGCTTCCTGGCTCCGAAAGCCGCGCCCTCCGAGTCGCAGCGGCAGCCGGCAGTGGGCGCCCTGCTCCGCCGTCAGGGGGTCCAGGCGCGCGAGTTCCTGGTAGGCCTCCAGTGCGGCCGCGTCGTAGGCGGCGGCGGCGGCCCGCGCGGCGGCCGGCGGGTTCGTGCGGAGCAGGTGCACCAGCTTCCCCGTGCCGCAGTGTCGCAGGAGGAGCCCCGCCGCTTGTGCCGCCGGCAGGTGCGGCGAGGCCAGCCCGGGCAGCTCCGCCAGCCTCTCCAGCAGCGTCGCCGCGCGCGCCGCCGTCTCAGCGCAGCGTTCGGCGGCGTAGGCAGGCGCCCCCATCTCCAGGCGGCGCCCGTCTGTCGCGTCCGGCAGGTTCCCCGGCGGCAGCGGCCCACCCAGCGGGACTCCCACCAGCGTGAGGCCGCGCGGGCGCCACTGCGCTTCGAGCCCGGCCGGACACGGCGAGCGCGGTGACCAGGCCTGCGTCTTGTGCGGCTGAAGCTCAAGGCCGAAAGCGCCCAGGGCGTCTTGCGCGGCCGGAGTGACGGCTGCGGCCAGCTCGGGAGGCGTGAGAACGATCACGTCGTCCAGGTAGGCCAAGACACGGATGTCGTCGGCCCGCAGCCCCCGGGCTGTCGCCTCCGCGCGCAGCGCGTCCTCCAGCGCCTGCAGGCGCGGGCGCATGCCGCAAGCGAACAGCAGCGGCGCCAGGGGGTCCCCCTGGTCCACCCCGTCAGTGGAGCGGAGCCGGTGGCACGCCCCGCTGCTGTCCCAGAAGTAGTACTGGGAGCGCCGCTGGCAGAAGAGCTTCGCGAGGGGGAGCAGCTCCGGGGCCGCGTCTGCCAGCTCCGCCAAGCAGTCGGTCCTGTTCGCGGTGCAGTATGCGTTCTTCGCGTCCAGCGCCGTCAGCACCAGGTCGGGGTTGCTTTCTGAAAGCGCCCGAACCGTGTGGGCGAGCAGCTCGGTCCCCGCCTTCGTCCCGATCGCGAATTGCCGCCTGCCCAAAGCTGTCGCGAGGTCCCTCTTCAGCGGCGTCACCAGGGCCCGCCCCACCAGCCGGCGGAGGATGCTAGGGGCCGCTATCGGGCGCACCCCATTGTCTGGCTTGCGGAGCGGCGTCAGTCTCGAAAGGGCCAAGGCCTCGGCGGCGCTCTCTGGCAGGTCAGCAGTGGCGAGGCGGTCGCAAACCTCGCAGAAGGCCTCGAGCGCAGTGGGCTCGGCGAGTACCACCCGCCAGTGCTCGAAGCGGGCGCCGCCGACCGCGGCGCCGCTGCCCTTGGGGCTCCGCCGGAGGGCCCGCCTGAGCTCCGTGCGTGAGAGGGGCGAAGCGGCCGCCCCTGGCCCAGGGCGGGGGTCTCGGGCTAGCGCCTGCGCTCCGCGGGGGGCAAGCAGCTCCTGTAGCTTCGTCGCAGTCTCCTCTGTGGGCGGCGCCAGGCCGGGGCTCGCCAGGAGCGCCGCTGCCCGCGAGTACTCTTCAGCAAGGGCCTGGCGCACCACCTGGTCGGCAAGGCGGCCCTTGTCGTTGGCGCCGTCCCCTCCTGCTTCCCGCCGAGCCCGAGCCAAGCTTCGGCCGGCCCCCCGTGCCTCCTCGAGGAACTCCTGCCAGGCGCCGTGCAGGAGCTGGGAGCACCGCTGCCGGACCAGGCGCGCCCTCTCGGGGGGCTCGCTGTCTGGCTGGCGCCGCCGGCCTGTGTTGCGGCGGATCGGCGCGGCGAAGAGCAGCCGCTCCCTGAGCAGGAGAAGTTTCCACGCCCTGCTCTCCGCCACCGTGCCAGGCGCCGAGCGCAGCACCGCTCGGCAGACCGCTTCGGTGGCCTGCGCGGCCGACGCCCGGGCCCCTCCGGGGACGAACCGGAGCGTGGGGCAGTCCTGCGCGAGCTCGTCCAGGAGGTCGATGCCGTCCAGGGCCGCCCAGCAATCCGCATCCATGTCTTGGAGCGGTTGCGGCGGCGGCGCCGGGTGCAAGGCCGCGGCCGGGGCGGCGGCAGCCGCGGGCGCGCCTCCGGGCAAGGGCGGCGCGGGTGGGCCGAGGGCGGGGCCCGCTGCTGGTGCGCCCGCGCCTGCCGGTGCTGCTGCCGCCGCCGAGGCGGTGTCCGAGGCCGGTGCAGTCGCCGGAGTGTCCGCCGCGCACTCCCGGCACACACGTGCATGGCAGGACTCGCAAGCCTGCAACCAGCCGCCGGCGCCGGGCCGATCGCATTGCCAGCAGCGCTCGCCGTGCTCCGCTCGGGCAGCCCGCGTGCTCCCAGCGCAGTTGGGGCAAAGGGGGCCTGGGTGCTGCGCCTCGCCGACCCGAATCCCTGCCCACCCACACTGCCATGCGATCGGGCGCCAGGGCGACTCCGCCGCCGGCAATCTCTGCTTCTCAGCGGCCCTGCCGCCGGCAATCTGCGTCTCCCAGCGGCTCCGCCGCCGGCCATCTCCGCCTCCCAGCGGCTGCGGCGGCCGCAGGCGCTTGGGGCCACGCGGCAGCCCGAGACCTGGGCCGATTACTTCCGCCGGCCCTTCCCGGCCTGCTTGAGGCCGAGCTTCCGGGTCCGCTGCAGGCGCCGGGCCACCTCGAGGAGGGCCCCGTTGTCCTCGGCAGCCTCGTCCAGCTTGTCCATGAGCTCCTCCTCGCTCATCTCGTCGTCGTCGTCCTCCTCCTCCTCCAGCGCGGCGCCGGCATCTAGGCGGTGCTCCTTGGGCTCCTCCGCGATCGCCTCGTCGAGCCGGGCTGCGGGAACACGGGCCGCCGTGTCCCCGAGGAAGGTGTAGAGCGCAGCCATCGGGGCTGCAATGCTCTCCGGGGGCCTGCCCGTCACGGGGTCCAGCACCGCTGGGGTGTTCAAGGCCTGCAGCAACGCCCGCGTATGCCGCTCCCAAGCCTCGTCCGCCGGCTCCGCCTGCAGCTCGGCGCGCAGCTGCGCGAGCTTGGCTCGCCCCTCCTCCAGCTCCGCCTGGAGCGCCTCCGCGGTGCTGCGGGCCTCGGCCAAAGAGACCTCCGCGGCCTCGACAGCCGCCGCCGCCTTGGAGGCCCGGGTGGCGGCCCTGTGCACGTAAGCCTCCAGGAGATCCAGGCGCCGCCCCGGCGCCGGGGCGGCCGCGCGCTTGCGCAGCTCGGCGGCCTTCCGGCGCAGCTGCGCGGCCTCCGGCCCGAGGCGAGCGCTGTCGAGCTGGTCCGCAGAGGCCTCCAGGGCAGCCGCCTGCTCCGCAGCTGCTGCCGCCGCGTCCTCGGGAGCGGGCGGCCGCGCGGAGGGCACCGGCGCCGCCGGGCGGTCGCGCGCGCCCTCCCCAGGGGCCTGCTCGCGCGAGCGGTGCTCCGCTCCGGGGAGTGGCGGCCACCCGGCGCGCCCGCCGGCGGCGTTCCCTGGCGTGGGAGCGGGCGGGGGGCAGCTGGCGGGAGCTCCTGCCCGGAGCGTCCCGCAGCGGCGGCAGCTGCCGCGTTCCTCGAAATTGGAGGCGCCGCACCGGCACCTCCATTCGGCGCGGCGCGGGGGCTGTCTCCCAGCAACTCCTTCCGTGCCAGCGCTGGCGCCCCGCCCGCCCCGGCCGTTGAACAGGCTGCGCAGGATCTGCGTCGCGAGCTCGGTGTCGCCGCGGCCGCGGGGCGGACGGCGACATCTCTCCACTTTCGTCCATTCCATCTCCTCCGACGACGCGGATGAACAACAATAATAAACAAATATATCCAGCAAATGTCAGCTTTATATACCGCTCAAAGCGGTTGCCGAGCCGGGGGGCGCCACCCCGCTCAGCGGACAGAGGCCCTGCAGTGCAGCCGCCGCCAGCCCGCGCCGCCGCAGCCGCAGGGGCCCAGGAGCCTCCTCCTCCTCCTCCTCCTCCTCCTCCTCCTCCGCCTCCTCCTCCTCCTCCTCCTCCTCCTCTTCCTCCTCCTCCCCCTCCCCCTCCCCCTCCTCCTCCTCCTCCTCCTCCTCCTCCTCCTCCTCCTCTTCCTCCTCCTCCTCTTCCTCCTCCTCCTCCTCCTCCCTGGTTCACCTGGCGCACGTGGCGGGCCTAGCACGCGTGGTGCACCTCGCCCCCGTATCGCGCACGTGGGGTCTGTTTTTGGTTCCCAGAAGCTGTCCACTCATAGACGACCTCTGAGAACGCTGGGGCTTGGGTGCTCTTTCTGTGTTCGGAGGGCGCGTGGGAGTGAGCGAGAATGCTTACGGGCGGGGAGCGTGTCTTGACCCCTTCCCCTACAGTGGAGGCCCGACCACAAGAAACCTTCCACAAGAAACCCAACCCTGAGACCCCAGGGCGTCCGCTGACCTTTTGGTGTGGGAACGTCAAGCCTTCCGCAGCAAACCATCGAAACTCAAGAAACCCAGGGCACCCTGGAGGCAAGCAGGGTGTTTCTTGGCATGGGCCTCCACTGTAAGACTTCCTCATGGACATACCCAATCTGAGACAGACGCATCAAAAACAAGTATGATCATATTCCTGCGCGCAGCCATTCACTCACGCTCAGACTCACTCACATTTAGCTTCGTTCACGCTCGGGCACTCAGCTTCGCTCTTGCTCACACGCTCACCGGGGAAAGCAACAGGTCACAGATGCGTCAATGGGGATCCCCAAGTCGGATACGTCGGTTTCCCACAGTCTCGGAAGTCTGACTATTCCTGGTGGCTCGAATGGTGGATGGGGGCAGAAGAATGGGGAGGAAAAGGGGAGCGGGAAGGCGAGAAAACGGGTCGGCTCCGCCCCCAGGCAGGGTCGCCGTCCGCCGGCCGGCCGCTCTCCTGCTTCTGCCCTGTCCAGCAGCTCGCTGAGCTCCCTCAGCGCGTGGTTCTCGGGCCTGCTGTCAGCCCTTCCCCCTCTGCCTCCGCCTCGGCCACCGCCTCGTTTCCGCCCCCCGCCCGCTCTTCCTGAAGGGGCCCCAGGACACACAAATAAATAGACACAAATAGCAGGATCCCCCATAGTTTCGCACATTTCCTGGGCTTCTGTCCCCCCCCCCCCCACTTCCCATAGTTTCCCATGTTTTTTTTCTGGGGAATATCGACGATTCATTGTGTCTGTGCTGTTTTGTTTTCCCTCCCGACTTCCACCTCTGGCCCTGCCGCCGCCCCTTCCCCCGCGTCCACCACCACCTCCACCTGCGCCGGCCCCTGCACCCTCCACCCCTGCGCCCCTGCCGCTGCCTCTGGCGGCCAGGGGCGCGAAGGGAGGCCGAGGCCAGAGTCTAGCCTCTGCCTCCCTTCGTTCCTCCACGTCTACCTCCACCTCCACCTCCAGCGGGGGCCACATGCGAACCCTACCCCTACCCCCCAAGATGTCTGAGGGGAAGGGTGGGGTTCACAAAGCTCGGGAGCTCCCGAACGAAGTGAACCCCACCCTCCCCCTCAGAAATCGTGGGGGGTAGGGGCAGGGCTCGCATGTGGCCTCCTGCTCCAGCCCATCCACCCCGGGCCTGTCTGGCGCCTGGCGGGGCGGGTCCGCGCGGCCGTGGGGAAAGTGGGCGTGCGGGGCCGGCGCGTAGCACATGGAGGAGCACGGCGCGAGCGAGGGCGCGGGCGCCGGGGTGTGCCAGGGCGCGCGCGGCTGCGCCGGGAGGCCGTCCGCGGGGTGGGCCGCCAGGTGCTGCACGCCCGGCCGCATGCTCGGCTGCAGGCCCTGTGGGCTCTGCAGCAGCTGCGGCTGCTGATGCGGCTGCTGCTGCAGCTGCAGCATCTGCTGGTGGTGGTGCTGCTGCTGGAGGAGCTCCTGCTGCAGCAGCGCCTGCTGCTGAAACTGCTGCTGGAACATCTGGTACTGCTGCTCTGGCTGCCACTGCTGTCGCGGCTGCTGCTCCAGTTGCTCCAGCTGCTGCTCCATTTGATGCTGCGGCTGCTGCTGCGACTGATGCTCCAGTTGCTCCTCGGGCTGCTGCTCCAGCTCCGGCTGCAGCTGCTGCCGATGCTTCGCATTTTGCATCTGCACCATGTCGGCGAACGCGAGCTGCTGCTGCTGCGGCTGCGGCTGCTGCTGCTGCTCCTGCCGCTGTTGATGGTGGCGCTGGTGCAGCTGCTGCTCTTGCTGCGCCCGCTGGGCGGCCGCCTGCTGCATGGCCTGCGCCTCGTGGACGGACATCAGCCATTGCCTCTGGGTGCTCACCTCCTGGCCCGTCTGCACCATCTGCACGACGTAGCTCGCCGGATCCACGGTGTGGTCTACGTGCACAACAAGCGCCAGGTCGCCGTCCTGGTAAGCGTACTCCCCAACGCAGATGGGATCGGGGCCGCCAAACGCGAGTTGCTCTGGCGCGGCCGCCTCGGCACCGTTGTCCTGACTGCTGGGTGAACCCGTGCCGTCTCCACTGCCAGCAGCACCTTCAGCGGGGGCGGAAGTCTCGTCGCTGCCCTGTGCCGCGGGCTGCCCAGGCGGCGGCGGCGGCCTCGGCAGTCGCTGCTGCTGAAGCTGAAGCTGCTGCTGCTGCTGCGGCTGCTGCTGCTGCTGCTGCTGCTGCGGCTGCTGCTGCTGCGGCTGCTGCGGCTGCTGCAGCTGCTGCTGCAGCTGCT